CACTTTGGCGATGCCGTTGCGAAATCGTGGCAGGCGCAGCACTTTGGCGATGCCGTTGCCGAAGTCGTGGCAGGCGCAGCATTCTGTGCATCTGGGTGTGTGTTTGTGTGGCAGGGGTCGCATTCGGCAGCTGTCTAGAGGGACAGGATGTTGTCGCGCGCGCGGCGGGGGGTGTGCGAAATCGTGGCAGGCGCAGCACTTTGGCGATGCCGTTGCGAAATCGTGGCAGGCGCAGCACTTTGGCGATGCCGTTGCCGAAGTCGTGGCAGGCGCAGCATTCTGTGCATCTGGGTGTGTGTTTGTGTGGCAGGGGTCGCATTCGGCAGCTGTCTAGAGGGACAGGATGTTGTCGCGCGCGCGGCGGGGGGTGTGCGAAATCGTGGCAGGCGCAGCACTTTGGCGATGCCGTTGCGAAATTGTGGCAGGCGCAGCACTTTGGCGATGCCGTTGCCGAAGTCGTGGCAGGCGCAGCATTCTGTGCATCTGGGTGTGTGTTTGTGTGGCAGGGGTCGCATTCGGCAGCTGTCTAGAGGGACAGGATGTTGTCGCGCGCGCGGCGGGGGGTGTGCGAAATCGTGGCAGGCGCAGCACTTTGGCGATGCCGTTGCGAAATCGTGGCAGGCGCAGCACTTTGGCGATGCCGTTGCCGAAGTCGTGGCAGGCGCAGCATTCTGTGCATCTGGGTGTGTGTTTGTGTGGCAGGGGTCGCATTCGGCAGCTGTCTAGAGGGACAGGATGTTGTCGCGCGCGCGGCGGGGGGCGTGCGAAATCGTGGCAGGCGCAGCACTTTGGCGATGCCGTTGCGAAATCGTGGCAGGCGCAGCACTTTGGCGATGCCGTTGCCGAAGTCGTGGCAGGCGCAGCATTCTGTGCATCTGGGTGTGTGTTTGTGTGGCAGGGGTCGCATTCGGCAGCTGTCTAGAGGGACAGGATGTTGTCGCGCGCGCGGCGGGGGGTGTGCGAAATCGTGGCAGGCGCAGCACTTTGGCGATGCCGTTGCGAAATCGTGGCAGGCGCAGCACTTTGGCGATGCCGTTGCCGAAGTCGTGGCAGGCGCAGCATTCTGTGCATCTGGGTGTGTGTTTGTGTGGCAGGGGTCGCATTCGGCAGCTGTCTAGAGGGACAGGATGTTGTCGCGCGCGCGGCGGGGGGCGTGCGAAATCGTGGCAGGCGCAGCACTTTGGCGATGCCGTTGCGAAATCGTGGCAGGCGCAGCACTTTGGCGATGCCGTTGCCGAAGTCGTGGCAGGCGCAGCATTCTGTGCATCTGGGTGTGTGTTTGTGTGGCAGGGGTCGCATTCGGCAGCTGTCTAGAGGGACAGGATGTTGTCGCGCGCGCGGCGGGGGGTGTGCGAAATCGTGGCAGGCGCAGCACTTTGGCGATGCCGTTGCGAAATCGTGGCAGGCGCAGCACTTTGGCGATGCCGTTGCCGAAGTCGTGGCAGGCGCAGCATTCTGTGCATCTGGGTGTGTGTTTGTGTGGCAGGGGTCGCATTCGGCAGCTGTCTAGAGGGACAGGATGTTGTCGCGCGCGCGGCGGGGGGTGTGCGAAATCGTGGCAGGCGCAGCACTTTGGCGATGCCGTTGCGAAATCGTGGCAGGCGCAGCACTTTGGCGATGCCGTTGCCGAAGTCGTGGCAGGCGCTGCATTCTGTGCATCTGGGTGCTCTGTAATCGCATCCATACAAGGGGCGCACGGTACATGTGTGTGGACATTTGAACTCACATCCTTGGGAAAAACATAGCATGTGGGGTTATCCGGTCCTTTAATTATTTTATTATGCTTATAACATTATCATGATTATTAATAATATCTAGTTTCATTTTGGAAATGGAAGGTGTCCGATTTCGAGCTGAAATGCTTAGACCTCCAGTGGCGCATTTCCTGTAAGACGCCATCTTTGGGACTCAAAGGTCCTGCGAAGGATTCACATTGCCGGACCCGCACATGTTTTTCACGTGGCGCATGCGAAGAGACAATCTGTTGGTAGTCTGGGAGAAAAATGGGGCGCAAACTGCACTTTTCGTTGCGCCAGCATTGTTGGGAAACGCCAATTTTCGAGGGTTGAAGTTCCAGGCGCTCTTTGAGGGTTGTTTGAAGTTGCAGGCGCTCATTTTCAGAGACACCCATATCCTTTGGGGGGGGCCCTCTGAGTCAGCGCACGACTCTCAACTAAAAACTCTCGATTGCACCGAGGACGTGCACCTCACGGCTGGGTATTTGGCCGCCGGGGTCAGGGAGAAGCCTGGCTGAGCTCAAAGAGATGAAGCCACAAGGGTAGATTGGTGGTGGTTCCAGAGATTCCATCCGGGATTTCGGAGCAACCCAGTGCAAGGATGAATCGTGAAAGGCCAGGTGTGCCTTTCCTTCGTCTTCAGCCAGCCAACAAGATAGTCCTGGATAAACTACGCATAGAGAAATCGGACACTTGCTCATACGTGTTGATCCATTTTTTTAGTGCAGTTTGAGGCACCCCACCAATTGCTGTCCAGTGGTTTGTTATGTGAACCTCCTAATGGCTGTTCCGGGTTGCCATTTGCAAGCCATTGAGGAATGCTGAAAGATAGGGGTTTCTGTTGTATGTCATGTTTCTTGGAAGGAGTGGGTTAGGTTGTTCCCCTCGAACACACACATAGACTCTGGAGGGAGTATATAGGCCAATCAAGATCGACTGCAAGCAAGTCGAGTGCCACAAAAGCAAACTCCATACCGAGTATGTTCGACGTAGCGAATTAGTCTAGCTTCACTCTTGTTACTTTATCAGGGAAAAGTCAAGCAACAACAATTCAGTGGAGTGGCCAAAAGGACTTTTGGGAATCACAGGAAGCAGGCCTGATTTACATAGATTCGTTGGCTAGGCTTGGAAATTAGGCGCCGTGCCCCTGCTGCCAAGTCATCTCTGTATTCATCAGACTCGCGTGATATCCATTGGAGGGTGGGGAGACCTCAAAGGGCCCTTTGTCCGCTCCCAAGATTCTTATGGCCGGCATTAAACATGAGCTGATTTTGGTGAAAGGCTTCCGTCGGTTGCAGGCGTGCGCCTGCTGTTGGTTGCAACTTGTTTCCGCTCTGGGATTGTATGCCCACCAACGTTTAGCGCCTCATTGTTTCAAGGTGTTGTCCTGCTTGCTCTTCAAACTCTAGCATATTCATCCAATGATGTTGTTCTTGCGATTCATGTGGTTGTGTTTTCTGCGGTCAAGCCGAGGGGGCACCCCCTCGTTTGTGGCGGCATCCCGTATTTGGCGACACATCAGTCTGCATGATCGTACGAATCATTGAATGTCCTTCTTAAGCCACCCCCTTTTCATTCCGCCCCCCAAGAAAGGTTTGCCCCTTAACAAGAGGAACCGCGCTCATCTTTATCTGCAAAGCACAGATTGTTCCACCTGCCGCTGTGTGGGATCCACTCGATCGGAAGTGAGTTTTGACCATGGCTAACAGTCCTCTCGTTAGTACTTCTCCCAAGGGTTCCGACTGCCTGATTAAATGGGGTTTCAGGTCCAAAACTTGGTCTAAGTACCTCGAAGGTGGATTCGCGTCTCGCACTTGCAAAGCCGACCTTTTAACCATGTCCCTGATAACTGGCCGTTCCATAAAGTGAACCTATTCCCAGGTATACCCTCCTTCTTGGGTTCCAAGTCTCCAAAAAATGAATCTATTCCCAGGCAATACCCCTCTCCCATGTACCTCCAAAAAGTGAACCTACTCCCAGGTAAAAAGTAACACTGTTACCCCCTTCCACTGAAGTTTGACACATGGCCCCCTCGATTCGTCCCACCCCCACCCCCACCCACCCTCCCCACCCCCACCCCACCCCCACCCCACCCCCCCCCGCCACCCCCCCACCCCCCACTCGAGGAACTGCCCGCCCGTGATCCGTGCCACTGGCCTGCAGAACGTGAACCTGGCAGTGCCCTTCGGCCGAGCGAGCGCCGGGCGGAGCTTGCCGACGCGGAGGGGGGCCGGGGCTTCGCTCGGTGGTTGGTGCCTCGCAAGAGGCGGCGGGACCATTTTTTTATATCAAAAACAAGACGGCGACTGTTCAAATGCTGGCTTGAGGGGCCAGGCGGTCTTGATTGCATCACACGTTTGGGCTCATTTAAGTTTTTTTCCCGTTTGGGGTGAAGGAAAGCCCCTATGACCACCAAATTAGGGTTGTTTGAACACGAGTTTCCTTTTGGTGTGATGCAAAATAGCATGTTGCGTTGCCAGCCTCTGCGTACCAAAAGAGTCATGGGAATCCACTTAACATACAGGAAGGGTTAGTTCGCATGGAGAGATGCGGATCCCCACTGCCGTAAATGGGTCCAAAAAGGCAGGCGAAGGTCTTTCGGACTTCGGGGTGAGCCAGGAAAAAGCTTCCCTGATCCGGAGGGCAAGGGTTCCAGTGTTCCTGAGGCTGGGGTTTTCGCACCCAAAAAAGGCCCTTTTTAACAACCTCCAAAGGAGGGTCCTTTCTGATGCCTAGGGCATTTTGGAGAAATTCCGGATCCAACACCTAGTGCAGCTCCTGGGTGTCGTCTGAGGAGTTATGCGCCAGTGCCATTCGAAGAATCTCAAGCGAGACTGTCCTGTCCCGTTTGCGTTTTCCCTTGGACGATTATGCTGCGCTTTCCAAGCGCACAAAGACAAACACAGACACATAGACATACGCACACACAATCACAGACACACACACACACACACACCCACCCGCACCCGCACCCGCACCCGCACCCGCACCCGCACCCGCACCCGCACCCGCACCCGCACCCGCACCCGCAGCGCCGCCGCACGCGCACACGCCGCACACGCGCTGCGCAGCGCACACGCGCGCGCGCAGCGCACGCACGCACACGCACACGCACACGCACACGCACACGCACACGCACACGCACTGCACACGCACACGCACACGCACACGCACACGCACACGCACACGCACACGCACACGCGCACACGCGCACACGCGCACACGCGCACACGCGCACACGCGCACACGCGCACACGCACACACGCACACACGCGCACACACGCACACACGCACACACGCCCACACGCGCACACACGCACACACGCCCACACGCGCACACGCGCACACGCGCGCACGCGCACACGCGCCCACGCGCGCACGCGCGCACGCGCACACGCACACACGCACACACGCACACACGCACACACACACACACAGACCTTTCCCCTCTCCCCATGTACCTACCCCACACATCCCCACACACCTCACACCCGACGAGGAAGGCCTGTGCCTTGGCGCGGAGCTATCTGGAGCCCGAGGGCAAGGACCTGGTGCTGCGTGTCGACTTCCCGGAGCCCCTCGACGCGGATGCTTTTGCTCTTGGGCTCGGGTCGGGAAACATGGCCATACGTTTGAAACCATAGCTGTCCTTTTTGGTTGTTTTGCTCGCAAAATTGCCTGGTTTACCTGGTGGTTTAATCATCTACCAGGGCCATCTATTTCCCCTAAAAGGACACCTATGGTTCAAACTAGAAATAGGTGTCTCCGTTGGCAGCTGGAACCTCAAGCTAATCTTCAGGATCAAAACGCACCCAAAGTTTGTGTAGCTGGAACCTCAAACTACCCTTCATGGAAACACACCCCGAAATTTCGGCGGTACGTCCGACTTCCAGGATTAATTTGAGGGTCCAGCGTATTACCCGTTTTTGGGGGGCAGAAAAGGACCACCAATTTTCGCGTCATGGATACTCGTGTGTTCGGCATGTTTGTAGGCTGTTAATATTCTAGGTTGTCCGGGACCTGGCCGAGCATCCAAGTAGCACCCTTAAACCGCCCTTTTGCATGGGGTCTGCTCTAAACATGGCCAACCCCACAGCGGGTAGCACAAAGGGTTTTCAGGGCAGTCGCCACAAGCCCCCCCCCAAAAAACGAACAAGATGGCAAAGATTATAGGATCCCAGCCTACCTGACCTGAAAAGTGTAACCCCCACTCCGGGAGAGAGTAAGTATCCCAGCGAAAATGGGTTTTATCCTAAGCTGTACGCGGATTAAGCCGGGGAAGTGATTTTGGCAGTTTTGACAAAGAGTCGCAGACAAGGCGACAAGGGCGAATGTAGCGATCTTGGAGGTGCTTTCCAAAAGAGCACAAGAACATAAGTTCCTGAACTTGGGCCACGGTTTGAGTTTGGGCCATATTGCGCACCAATATAGCTTAACCTTTCTGCAAATCCATAGAGAAAAGGGAGCTATTTGTTTGTCCCTCAAAGAATCCCGGCTTTTCTGTTCGCAAGGTCCGGCTGAACATTGTTGCAACATGGGCTGGGGGGGTTGCCTTTTCACCGTGCCAACAGGGCTCCTTAAAGGATACATCCAACAAGTTCTGGCTTTACATCTGTTCCAAAATCAGCTGGTTGGGCGATGTTTACGCTGGACCCAGCTTGTATGCTTTAAAGGACCCTTCTCGATATGGCTCGGTTTTCTTGATAGGTAACCACCTGAAAAGTAGTTGGTGCACATCAATCCCCACCTAAATGTTGTCCACCATTTTGTGTTCCCCATTTAGATTCATACCTTGACCCTCGAACTACCCCGAATAATGCAGAATCACCCACAAGTATTGGGCAATCACCCATTTTTCAGGGTAGTAGTTTCTATGATCAAGGTGCCCACACCCCGAAGAAAGCGCAAATCACACATGCGCCCTTCGGTTCAACCCAAAAGAAAGGTTGATCCAATTTGGATGAGAATTCTTAGGTGGTTGTATTAGTCCCCTTTGCTGTAATGATGGTTTGAGTCCCCGCAAACCACCTTGGGTGGGGGGGGGCATGCTGCTGAGCCCCTCCCCGTCTCCACGAAGCTTTCGGGGATCGCAGCGGGTGCGGCTGTCTCACAGGTACCAGGTGAATCCGGAGACCATGCGGCTGAAGCTGATCCTGGCGCCGGTGGAAGGCCAAGCTTTGCGCCGCACCACCAAGGCGCCTGGGGTTGTGGAGGGGTTGGGCCGGCTGGGGTTGGAGAGGGGTTGGGGTTGATTTGTTGGGGGTTTGGTTCGGGGTTTAGAGGGGGGGGGGATAATTTTTGTTGGGTTTGGTTTGGGGTTGGGGGTTGGGAAAGGCTTGTAAGGAGTTTTGAGGGGTTTGGGAATAAGTTTGGCTGGGGGGGTTGTTGTGCGGAGGTTTTTGGGGGGTTGGGGCTAGGGGGTTGGGGTTGGGTTTGGATATAGCTTGTTTCTTGCCCCTAAGGCTCCGGCTCAGGAGCTGTCTTGAGGCTCGGTCCTTTTGCGCGGAACGCCCTTTGGGTATTGACTTGACCTGGGGTCTCCTCCAAAATTACGAGTATTTTAGGGCAGACTAAATATGAGGCACTGCCTGAAGATATGACTGCTCTTGTTTAATTCTGTTTCGAGTATCTGGTTGTTCAGAAGATGACTTGGAGTATGGATGGACAAAACAAAAGCACTTGTTAGTAGGTTGTTTATCCCAGTACTCAATCGGGTCTGATCCATGCCTGCTGCAAGGCGGTTTTACCCGTCAGCTTGAAAGATTCTTCCAAAAGGGCTAGGGCAAGTTCTAAGCATTGGGTCACCAGCGGTCGGGATCTCCATTGGACCTCGAAGAGACAAGCTGTTTGAGGTCCCAAGATTCTTACAGCTTACCAGGGTTTGTGGGAGGAAACCGCAGCCCTCCCCCCCCCCCCCCCCACACACACAGCGTTTTTTTTCTTGGAGCTGTCTTTGAAAGGGAGCTCAGAACCTTTTTGGTGGTTCGGGCACTGATGGCCAGCATGGCAAGTGGGGTGAAGCATTGCCAGGTTTGGCAGCCAAATGTCAACTTCACTTTCGGTTATGAGAAGACCAGATTCATCTACTGACCGCGAAACCCAGAGCCCTTTTGCATGGCGAGCCTTCAGCCAGAAACCAATCCAGCAGCTGCAACCTACCAGACCAAAGCGCTTGGGCGTTCAGCAGTGACACTTCTCGGATGCCGTTGAAAGTTGAGTATTCTTGCCTGGGCCAGTTCAATGAAACTCTTTTCTTTTTGGCGGCTGAATGGTTGAATAGCAGTCTTGTTTTTGTTCCCGACATTTGATGGGAGGCTCTGACTATCAGATGGAAAACGGGAAAGCCACATGGACTGCCCAACATGGGGTTGTCAAACATCAGTTGACTCTGTTTCGCGTTTTGTCGTGCCAGAGTGTAATGTTTATCTCTTTTGTTGTTTGACAGCAGTATATTTTCTTGAGCATCCCCTTCTTGGGGCTAGATTTCAAGCAAACACCAAAGGGCCATTTGCCATGCGCGGGGTTGCCCCCGTAGATTTTAACTTTTTGGTTGGGTGTTCCGCGAAACCCCCCCAAAAAGTGAGAAACTTTTTGCAGGGGGGTCAACAGCAACCAAGATACCCTGAATTTTCTCCAGGGAATGCCTCGACTTTGGGCATGCTCCTTTGGCCCGGGCCAAGAACTCAGAAATCTTATGCCAGCGGAAGTCAATAGCAACCAGGAAAATGGAGAAGGACGATGCCGAATGAAACCGCACCGCAGGATGCCCAGGCCTTGTACGTCGCCAAGGATTCCTGGACGGACAAAGTGGCCGGCGCAATCGCGCAGCGGGTGCGAGAGGAGGACAAGGCGCCGCCTTGGATTTGTGGGTGATTTGTGGATGGACGAAATCCATGTCGCATCACTTGAAAACCATGAGAAACCGGGGAATCATCATTCCAGGGTTTCTTAGGAAGTGCAGGATTTCGTCCATCCACAGTAGGTTCCTTTGACATTTATTTCTGGGTTTCTTCCCCCCACTAAAGGGGGACTACGCCTTAGCGCAGTCCTGATTTATCCGAGGTTAAGATTACTCCCAATCAAAATGTTGACTTTTTGGGCACTGGGAAGACTACTGTAAAGTATGCACCAGAAATACGGTCAGTGTCATTGACGTTCGTAGCTAGCCAGCGCTGCTCTGGGTCCAGGATGCCTACAGTCTCAATTATCAACCAATGGATACTTATACAGAGGTCACATTTTGGGCTAGACGCATGAATCATAGTCTGAATACATTGACATACGTGTTGTGTTTGCGGTTGCGGTTGCGGTTGTTGTTGTTGTTGTTGTTGTTGTTGTTGTTGTTGTTGTTGTTGTTGTTGTTGTTGTTGTTGTTGTTGTTGTTGTTGTCGCCGTCGCCGTCGCCGTCGCCGTCGCCGTCGCCGTCGCCGTCGCCGTCGCCGTTGTTGCTGTTGCTGTTGCTGTTGCTGTTGCTGCTGCTGTTGCTGTTGTTGTTGATGATGATGATTGTTGGTTGTTGGTTGTTGGTTGTTGGTTTTTGGTTGTTGGTTGTTGGTGGTTGTTGTTGTTGCTGCTGCTGCTGTTGTTGTCGTTGTTGTTGTTGTTGCTGGTCAAGCTGCCAACCTGCCAACCTGCCAATCAGTTCTTTGTGTGTGTGTTGATTCTGTTCAATATGCTTGTGTGTGTGTTTTGTGCGTGTCTTTTGTGTGGTGTGTGTTTGTGACTTTCCAAGCACCACACCTGCACAGAACACAAACAAGCAACTTTGTCTATGTGTGTGTGTGTGTGCTTGTGCGTGTGTGAGTAACTGTTTTGTCTGTGTTTGTTGTGTGTTTGTGTGTGTGTGTGGTGTGTGTTGTGCCTAAGCTGTTTGTGTGTGTGTGTGGTTGTGTCGTGGTTGGGTGTCTGTGTGTGTGTGGTTGTGTTTGTATGTTGTGCGTGTGTTGTTGCTGTTGTTGTGGTTGTTGTTGTTGTTGCTGTTGCTGTTGTTGCTCTTGTTGCTGTTGTTGCTGTTGTTGCTGGTGTTGCTGGTTGCTGTTGTTGCTGTTGCTGTTGCTGTTGCTGTTGTTTATGTTGTTGTTGTTGTTGTTGTTGTTGTTGTTGTTGTTGTTGTTGTTGTTGTTGTTGTTGTTGTTGTTGTTGGTTGTTGGTTGTTGGTTGTTGGTTGTTGGTTGTTGGTTGTTGGTTGTTGGTTGTTGGTTGTTGGTTGTTGGGTTGGCTGTTGGTTGTTGGTTGTTGGTTGTTGGTTTGTTGGTTGTTGGTTG